TCATTTCACATATTGCTGGTTCAGTTTGTTTATATTTTGTTTCTACTTTCCTGTCTATTTGCATAAATGACATGTGCCTGCAATTTTCCTTAAATTTTGTTAAATTTGGTATCAAGATTATGTTGTCCTCCTAAAATGAGTTGGAAAGATTTCCTTTTTTTCTACCATCTAGATGAGCTTCTATAAGAAGCTTCCTTCAATTTTCAGAAGAATTCATAGGTAAAAAATCATCTGTGCCTACAATTTTCTATTTAGGATGATTTTACATTACAAAGCCAATTTCTTTAATATAAACAATTATTTTGATTTTCTGTTCCTTCTGTGAGCTTTGCTTAGGTTTTTTTCTAGAGGGGGAGGGGATGTGTCCATTTCATGTAACATTTAAATTTTATGGTATAAAATTACTTGTATCAATAGTATCCTCTGAGGATTTTTAAATATCTGTGGAACCTTTCCTGATCTCCTCTTATGCACTTGCACTCTCAATAATAAATGTTTGTAGTTTTTTTTCTTGATCTTCTTTCTAGGGATTTATCAATCTTACTAGTTTCATATATTTTGCTTGTAATAGAAAAGCAGAAAGATATAAAATCAAAGATCTAAGCTTCTACCTAAAGAATTGAAAAAAATAAAGAACAAGTAAAGCTTAAGCAAGCAGAAGAAAGGAAATAAAGAGCAGACATTAATGACATTTTTAAAAATTGAGAAAATTCAATGGAATCAAAAGTTGGTTCTTTGAAAAGATTTTAACAGAGGGAAGGAAGAAAGGGAGAATGGGAGGGAGGGAGAAGGAGAGGGAAAAAAGAAAGGAGAAGAGACGAGGAGAGAGAAGAGAAGAGAAAAGAAGAGAAGAAAAACCTCTAGCCAGATAGATGAAGAATAAGAGAGAAAAGACACACATTCCAATACCAAGATTGAGAGAGGTTAACATCTCTATGGCCATTACAGATATTAAAAGGTAATAAGTTTAAAAAAACGGTAATAAGGATGTATTATGAACAACTAATGACAATGAATGCAATACCTTAGAAGTGTACAAATACCTTGAAATACACAAAGTACCAAAGCTCAAAACTTAACCAAATTGTATATGAAAATATATATAAAAGGATACTACATCATGGCCAAGCGCAGTTTATCCCATGAATGCAAGGTTGATTTAATATTCAAAAATTAATCAGTATATAATTCACTATATTTACAGACTGGAAAAAATCCACGTGATGCAGAATATATAAAGAAGCCTTACAAGTCAATAGTAAGACAAAAATCCAATTTTTAAAAAAGGAGGTATGGGGGGCTTCCCTGGTGGCGCAGTGGTTGAGAGTCTGCCTGCCAATGCAGGGGACACGGGTTCGAGCCCTGGTCTGGGAGGATCCCACATGCCGCAGAGCGGCTGGGCCCGTGAGCCACAATTACTGAGCCTGCGCGTCTGGAGCCTGTGCTCCGCAGCAAGAGAGGCCGCGATAGTGAGAGGCCTGCGCACCGTGATGAAGAGTGGCCTCCGCACCGTGATGAAGAGTGGCCCCCGCTTGCTACAGCTGGAGAAAGCCCTCGCACAGAAACGAAGACCCAACACAGCCATAAATAGATAAATAAATAAATTTTTTTAAAAAAAGGAGGTATGGCTAAACAAGGCAACGTGAGGGACATCCCCGTGGTGATGGAAATGCTCTGAATCATGACTATTTCGAAGTCCATATCTTGGTCGTGGTACTATACTACTGTTTTGCAATTATAGCTGTCACTGAGTGAAAACAGGTAAAAGGTACATGGGATCTCTCTGAATTTTTCTTACAACTACAATTTCAAAATAAGTATAATTTAAAACAATGGGAAAAAACTTGGAAAATACTTCACAAAAGCAAATATGTAAGCACATGAAAAGTACATGAAAAATGCTCAGTATCACTGGGTATTAAGAAATGATAATTCTAACCAGAATAAGATACCAGAATATATATCACAGACAGCTAGGTCCACAGTGGATGATTCCATGTAGAGAACTTTGTAAAAACACTTGACTTACTCATTTTTACTATTACACATAAAAAGGAAAAGGATAAAAGTAAACAGATCAACAAGAAAGTTAGACTCTAGAGAAAAAGAACAATTTCTTTAAACACCTGAATGTCATCTAGAATATCCTGAAATCCTTATGGAATGGACTTGAATGTTGACTGAATCTAATGCCTTCCCTATCTTACCATCCCTGTTTTGGCAGTCAGTAAAATTTAATTTTAATGCAAAATCCTGTGCTAACTTAAAATTGTTTTAATTACCAAATGTAATGAAGATACAAAAAAGTACACAAAATAATATAATAAAAAGTACATCCACTGTTAAATTATGTCAAATCTTAATATTTTGGTCAGATATGGTTCAAAGTTTTGCGTGGTTACTTCTTTTACTTTTGTTTTTGCTGCTGTTGAAGTGAAAAGAATATTACAGACCTAGGGGAAGCCCCACTGTGCACCCTTCCCCATTTTCACTCCCCTTTCTTGCTCTGATATAGCCAGTACCCTGACTGTTTTACTTTGCATGTTCCACACATTTTCAATATTATAAACAGTGCTTTAGATGACCACTAATAAGCATGTCCTCTCTGCAAATGTGCAAGAGTCTTCCTAGATAATCCTGGAGTGAAATGCTGACTTGTGGGGTATACACAGCCTTCAATTTTACCTGTATCCCTTAAAACTAAACACACACCTGTCTTATGACCCAGCAATTCTACTCCTAGGTATATGCCCAAAAGGATGAGTGCACATGTCCACCAAAATACATGTTCAAAAATGTGCACAGCAAAAATAGCCCCAAAGTGGGGAACAGAAGCCAAATATCCACCAAGAAGGGCATGAATAAATATACTGTGGCACATTCATACAATGGAATAGTACACAGCAATAATAAGGAACAAACTAATGATACAGTAACATGGGTGAATTTTAGCAACACTGTCTTCAGTGAAAGAAGCCAAAATAAAAGAGAACACCGTAATTTCATTTCCTAATGCCCAGTAATAGTAAAAGCATTTTTCGTGTACTTTGCATGTGCTTACATATCTTCTTTTGAAAAGTATTTTTTCCAAATTTCTCCCCAATGTTTTAAATTATACTTTTTTATTTTGAAATAATTCTAGTTTTAAGAAAAATGCAGAGATATCCCATGTATCCTTTACCCACTTTCCCCCAGTGACAACTATAATTCAAGGAGAAGCAAAAACTAATCTATTAGGAGGGAATTCAGAATGTAGTTTGGTGTGGGATATTGACCAGAATAGGGCAAAAGGGAGTCTTCTACTATGCTAGAAATGTTCAATAACTTGATCTGGGTGGTAATAATACAGGTATATATATATACATAGAAACTCATAAGTTGTACCTTTAAAATTTGTGTACTTTCTGTTTTATACTTCAATTTTAAAATGTTTTTAAAAATCATGGTTTTTCAACTTATCAAAGGAAAGATAAATGCTAGTTTAAAAAAAAAAACTAAGTCAGTGCAAATATTTTCCCTCATGGTACTTTACTAAATAAAAGAATCAAAAAAATGTGTATGTTTTATCCTCTTTCTACAGTGTCAAGATCCCTTAAACCTTAGTTGAAATGATGGTCACGCTATGTAAGAGGCAAAAATAGTTTCAACAGGAACAGTAGAGAAGAGTAAAGACGACATGAAAGCTCTACTGAAGAAGAAGGTGTCTGTACTCAAAGAAGAGTGAGACCCCTATAGCCCCATTCTCCCAGCCGACCCCCACACTAGACTGGAAGAATCCCTTCTCAGAAATTGATCAATTACCCCAAAAGAAAAGGCCTACAGCCAGTAGGACACCCAGAGAAATAGAATATGTAGAGCTCATTACGCTGAAGAAGTCTTGCCCACACACAGAACTTGCAGTCAACATTTTAGTGCATGCCCCTCGATAGAAACAGATAAGCAAGAATCACCACACATTTCAGGAAAGCCTCCAACGAGGACTAAGACAGGAGCCAAAGACGAAAATGAAACGGAGAAAATATGCAATATGTTTTAATAGCTTTAGAGGGGGTTCTCGGTTCTGCTAAAGTTGGGAGTTGCCTTAGTGATTGGTATATGAATATAAAACAGGGCAATGATGTGCTACAGAAAAATTAAAACATGTACAAGAAAGGAAATACAATTATCAATCACTCCATCTGAGGGTAGAATAATAGTTAACAAAATCATAATAATGTAAAAGCTGAGTTAACCAAAAATGATAATAAGATGGAAGAAGGAAAAAGTCTCTGTGCTGGAAAGGGGTCTAGGAACCCAGAGGGAACACTCAAGATGTGCAGGAGGGAGAGCAGTTAATCTCTAAATCTGAAAAATCAAGAAATAACAATATAAGCATGTTATTTAGAAACATGGAAAGAGCTGACAGCATTTGTCTTTGGAGAGTGGTAATCAGGTATGGGGTAGACATGGGGTCTGCTAGTTTGCATTAAAACCTAGTACTTCTGTGTAAGTTTTAAACTATGTACATGTATTACTTTGACACAAAGAAAATACCAAAGAGGAAGATAAAATCAGTTTGGGAATGGAACTCACAAACAGGACTAAAATGTAAAGAGTTAAATTATACTACACTATTTTACATTGTTTTACAAAACAATTTTCAGTCCTCTTCTTCTTCCCTATTCTTTCACTCATTCTACATAAAAGGAGCAAACCTGTTTGATAATTTCTGCCACAACTAAAAAGTGGAAATGGAGAGGAAAAATGATCTCACTGCAGCAAAAACATTCCTATCAATTACTAAAGAAACTATTTTGACAGAGTTTTTAATAGTAGCTAATCGTCATTCAAAAAAAAAAAGCATCACTTCATAAATCTAAAGAAAGGCACACCATTTCTAAGTCAGGGACTTGCAGAAATATCTACCAGAAGCAAAAGAAGGAAGTAGGGTACTAAGGGTAGTAAATTTTATGGAGTGACATATCTGTTCTGTAACTCCGATTAAAGTGAAGCTAACTTACCACTTCGTGAATGGATCTATTGAAGCCATCATCTTCTGTAAGGATCAACAATACTATAAGGGCCATATAGACATGGTGTGAATTTCTTTCTTCCACATGATACAGAATCTCGAGAATTGGTAAAACCTAGTGAATAAAAATTTTAATTTACTATTACCATTACTTTATTATAAAACCAATGTTTTAAACCTCTATACTTTTATCATGTACCCTTTGCTTTAATTTCATAAACCAGCCTGTGACTGAAAGTACTTTCCATTTGTATAACTAAAGGACCACCAGAGAAAAGCATCCTCTTCTGCAAAGGTGCCGCCATGTAAAGGCTGGGTTTACAGAGACCATTTAGGCTCATGGTCAACACCTGACACTCAATAGAGGCGATTCAGCCTCCAGTCTAGCAGGAACTTACACAATAAGGTATTCTTACAAACAATGCAATATATCAAGCATTACCTTCTTAACAGCAAAGATTGTAGGATAAAAGAACTGTTAACAACAAAATCAGATCAGCATAGTGAATTTCCTACCAGTAACATATTTTCTAATCACAGACTCAACAAATTATAGAAGGAAAAGGGAAGGACATCAGTTAAAACATTATAGAAGTAATCTATGCAAGACATTAAAAACAAAAACTAATATACAAGCCCCACCTCACCCCATCCCAGCCCCCCAAAAAATCCCCAAACAAAACCTTTTAACTTTTCACTGGTGTTGCCATCATATACAGACAACTGTTCCCCTGCATGATCTTTTGTACCAACATCCTTACCATGGAACTTTCTAGAGCCGATGATGTCATGGGCTTTCTGCTTATTCCCATCATTTTCCTTAGGATACATCATGTTCAGAATTGTCTCTGCTTATATTCACTCACCCACTAGTAAATAAGCCTTTTCTTTACAAGCTTTTACTCACATGAGCAGTACACTGTCACACCCAATTTTGCTATTTAAGCCAATGTTTTCCACATATAGCTGGTGTGCAGATGGGTTTGTTCATCACATTTTTTTGTCCTTAGTGTCACTCTGACATAGAATACGCTCTTCAATAAATTCTAATATTCCATGTTTACTCATTACTTTCATGTTTAATGCTGAAAAAAAGTGGCCACCAAATCCCTGGTGAATCCTGCTATCACTCTATAAAAATTGGTGCAGAGGGGACATTCCTGTTGCCACCAGCAAGCTGCCAGCTATTTCAGAGATGTTCACAATTTTATTAATGCATGAACAGTCCAACGTTATCTATAATTATGTATTTCAAACATGACATCAACACCTTAGTGAGGCAGCTTACTTTTCATAGAAACATTTTTGTTTACACATTAGTTATAATGGAAATCAATAACTGCCCATAGGAGTTGTTGTCTATGAGCAAAAACTTGGAACCAATTTCACTCACATAGTAAAGGGTAATGTACATTTATATGATATCTGGCAACGGTACCTTAAAATAACTATAACACTCCAGGAACTGAGTTCAGACAGCCTTAGTGTCAAAGCCTGTTGAAGGGATAGGACACTTGGGAAACTGAGTTGAAAAATCACCCTTCCTTTTAGCCATACTCATCAGGAATATGCGACAACTGTGACCAGCTACTTGAATTTAGTGAGCAGGCACTTAGTAGCGGAAAGGAACCAGAAGGGTATAAAAATCTTCTTGACAATGGCAGCCAGTGCTTCTTGGAGGACTTCATCCAGGCTGAATCATGGGCAGTGGGTGGCTGTTAAGGACCTAAAGGACAGGGAAGTTTGCTGTGCTGTGTGCTCTCCTGCTCTGCACTGTGACGCCATCTCTACGTACACTGTCTCCTGCACTGTAAAACTCATACCTCTGCCTTTGCCTGGTGGCATCTCCCTATCAACCTCTTGACTATCACCTTTGCAACCAGGCAAATATACATATCCTCTTGGGAAAAGAAATTACTCTTCAAAATATTATAAAATATAAAACCATGTTTAATATGATACTTACAAGATTTTCCATATCTGTGCGAGCCAACATGTATGTTCTAATATTACTATTCTGATGGAGCAATGTATACAAAAGGAGAGTTGCTTGATCAGATGTCTGCTGTTCACATAGGGCCATATACAAACTGTTAAAGTTAATCTGGAAAGCATGTGGAATTGACGAGGGGAAAGGACTGCTATCTGGAATATGAAAAACACAAATTTTTTAAAAATACTACATCTATTTTCTAGACTGTACCTGATATTAAATAATAAAAGTATTGTTAATGTATACAATTCAGTTCCCATTAATTTTGTGTAAGTTGCTACATTTCAGGCTCAAAATTTCAATTTGTATTCTAAATTCTACCTAAAAAACAACTACACTAAAACATGACTACAGTTGATAACACAGTACTGTACATTTGAAATTTGCTAAGAGAGTAGAACTGAAATGTTCTCACCAAAAACAAAAGAAACAAAAACAAACAAAAAAACAACCCCCCCCCCCACACAAAACACAAAAACCCAACCCAACCTAAACTCAGACAATTTATTTCTCTGTACTATCTAAACCACAGCTTTCCAATGATTATAAATATATGAGCAAATACCATGTAACAGAGGGACTTTTTTTTTAAAGCCAAGTATAAAAAAAACTAAGTCACGCAGTTTGACTCCACTACTATTTTTGCATTAACATAGCTGAATTAAATTGTCAATAAAAATATGAGCTTAAATAAATACAGCTATGGGGGTAGGCAAAAAAAACCATACAATTAATACATACAATTTAACCACAACACTGAAATGCTTTGTTACCAAAACTAAATGGTCATGAGTCCTAAATAAAAATATCTAGAGACAAACAGAAAATTCTCTTGTAAGGTAAGAGTTTAAAAGAAAAAAAAACTGCCTTGAAGCTAAGTTAATTTTTTTCAAATGAATTATCACGGCTGAAGTATCCATCAATGTCATCAATACATTTATGAAGAAAATAGCTAGGATAACATATAATTTAGATAATTTTAAAATGATATCAAAATCAGTATGTTCAACATTAGCTTCTGTAATAGAACGTACCAAACCTAAGACAACTCTTGGAAAACATAAAACATTTTTGTTTAAAGGAAAACTTAAAACTAATTGACTACAACCACTAAGAAACTTTTTTTTTTAAGTAGTTACTGGAATGATGAAAAGCATAAATTACAACCCACATAGGGAAAATTCTTGATATTCCAAAACTGACATAGCCCCTTTCCTACAGTTTACTGGATTTGTTTAAAAACGGAAGCAAGCAAGGTTAGGAAGTTTAAAAAGAGGTAAAGCTAGGTCAACTGACTTAGAGAAAATTATAGTCTCATCAGATAAAACACTGGAACATAACAGCACAAAGAGCTGATATTTTAATGTGTTTTGACAAGTATGCAGAAAGAATTGTTTTTTTAAAGACCCAGAACCACTAGCAAAACAAACAAAACAAAATTTAAAAAAACCACTGCTTTAACATTTCCAGAAGCTGTGCTCTTATGGAAAAGAAACGTGTGCCAACAAAATCTTTATGATAGCACAGTCCTATGTCTCTCAGATTTTCCTTTTTAACCTTTATATTTGTGGGAAGAATGCATCTAAAAAATGTCTTCAACTTTACTACAAAGTGTCCTCACTTTTCCTTCCACATTCAGAACATAGGTTATTTTTTCAATCCTAGCACTGTATTTTTGACACTTACAAAAATAATTGTTTTGTAAGACTGACCTATATTTTTGCAAAGGATGGCAAAAGGAAGTGTTGGATATACTGTGAGTATGCAAATATTACAGGATTTACAGAAGACTTGCTGGAGGAAGATGCTGGACACACTACACATCTTTACAATGGAAGCAGAATAACACAGGTTCATCAACCTGTATTATACCTGACTACAAATGGAATACATATGTTGTGTGTCTATATGTTACTAGCTAGTAAGCGCTATGAACCAGCCATTATACTGACAGCTTTACGTGTATTATCCTTTATTTAACCCATATGACAACCATGTCATTACTCTGACCAGTTTTACAAAGGGTAAAATAGAGGCTTAGAGAGATTAAGCAACTTTTCCAAGATCATCCCTGAGTAAACACAGATCAGCTCCTGTTGTTTTCACCACATTATACTGTTTCTTACAACAGCAGCAATAATTTAGTGAGTCCGTCCTATGATAAATGCTCATTTAATTCTTCTAAGAACCTTATGAGGTAGAGATTATAATCGCTGCTTCACAAATAAGGAAACTAGTATATAAAGAATATAATCTGGGATATGAACCCAGGTCAGTCTAACCCTAAAGCCAATGTTCTGAATCACACTGTTCTGTACCACAGTCTCCCAAAAGATGACTCTCCCAAGAAGGTTCAACCCTAAACAGTATCGTCTGGCCAGAGCAGCAAAAGTAATAATAGCAGATACCATATACTGAACACCTGCTATGTTGCAAAATCTGAGCTAATCATTTCAAAACCCTACCTTGTTTGGTACTTATACAAATCCTATTAGGTGATACTATCTTCATTTCACAGAAAAGGCCATTGAGGCTTATTGAGATTAAGCAAACTGTGAAAGGCCTCACAGCTTTGAAGTGACAGGAGTGTGACATGAAGTCAGGTCAGCTTGACTCCAAACCTTCCTTTTTTAACCCTAAAGTCACACTGTCACCAAGAAGAGTACAGCAATGAGCATAGAAAATACTATTAGATGCATGAGCCTTCATTTCTTATCTATCTAACTGTTAGAGACTCATATCCCCCTGCAAATAATAATGCCAGAAATGGCAAAGGCTCAACAAACACTGTCTGTAAGAAACGTATACTAGAACAGCTCTGGAAAGGAACAAAGCAAAGAGCACCAGAAGTGTTAAAAATCTTCCTAGCCAATAACTGCACTTCTTACCCAACTTAATTATATTAGCGTTGGATGTATTTTGAAAATCTAGCTACCACATTAATCTTGCTTTTAGAGTATAACCTTTTGATAGGTGATTACTGCTTCAACATGGAACTATCCGCGTGTGCTCTACTTCAGGGTTTTGGCAAATTACAGCCCACAGGCACCCCACCACCTGTTTTGGAAATAAAGTTTTACTGGAACCCAGTCATGCTCATTTGCTTATGTATTACCTATGCTGCTTTTATGCTACAATGGCAATTAAGAGGTGGTGACAGAGACCACAAAAGCCATCTGCCCCTTTGCAGAAAAAGTCTGCTGAGTTCTGCTCCTATCTTTAGTTATATAAAACCCTAAATGGAATATAGATTTTAAATTAAAAATTTCAAATAATGTATCATTTGGGGTTTTCCAGGTTAATTCCTATCCCTAATAGGTAGGACAGGTGGATCTAAATTAAGCACATGATGGCTTGGTTATCTCTGAAAGAAATGTAAATATAAATGGATATGAAGAACCACAGCCCTCATCTAAGATTTACTTGACCTTCCTGAGAATATACACAGAAAATTTAGTTTTTCTCATCTTTAACCAACATGAAAATATACAACTTGACAGTCATCTCCACAAGTGAAAGTACACAATATGGGGTAAACAATACCCTCTTTCCTCATTAGAAAGACTATTCAGAGGAAAAAAAAATACCACAAACCTTGTGTATTCTTAAAGGACATGATGGCCTGTCTGTAGGGGTTTGGTGCATCTGCAGCATCTGTCAGGTTGGCCAGAATCAGCAGAAGCAGGAGACTCTGGTTGGCCAGAGGGGAAGAAACTTCTGGAGCAGCAGCCGCTTTGCTGCCCACACCGCCCAGTGTGAAAACAGTCCAGAGTCCAGCTTGAGAAGAAAACACACAATTAAAATGTGCTGGGACTAGGGGCAGGACAGGAATAAAGACGCAGATGTAGAGAATGGACTTGAGGACACAGGGAGGGGGAAGGGAAAGCTGGGACGAAGTGAGAGAGTGGCATGGACCAAATGTAAAATAGATAGCTAGTGGGAAGCAGCTGCATAGCACAGGGAGATCAGCTGGGTGCTTTGTGACCACCTAGAGGGGTGGGATAGGGAGGGGGGGAGGGAGACACAAGAGGGAGGAGATATGGGAACATATGTATATGTATAACTGCTTCACTTTGTTATAAAGCAGAAACTAATGTACCATTGTAAAGCAATTATACTCCAATAAAGATGTTAAAATAAATAAATAAATAAAAATAAAAATACAACTCAGCTCTGGTGGAAAACTACAAAAAAGAAATGTGCTGGGACTTGTAAGATGAATCTATTTCTGTACAATATTCTATACTTTCTCACATTTTAAAGTTTGAAATAACACTCCCTTTTTTGATTATGAAAGTAAAACAAGTCCATAGTTTGGAAATTCTCATATTGTCCAAGGACATAAAAATTTTAAAGACTGTCACTCCCTATTCCCATAATTCCACTTCCATTTCCCATAGATAACCAAGATAATATTAAGTTTCTTATGCATCTTTTTAAATTTTTCTTTACATATCAAAACATACACATAATTATAAAAAAATTTCACGTACAACTTTATACCAATATATTTTAAAACCTAAGCAAAATATTAAAATATCTAGGAGAAAACAAAATTGTCCAAAGAAGATGAAAGCCTGAATGGACAAATAACGTTATAAGAGTGTAAACCAGAGTCAAAGAGCCAATCCTTAAAAACCATCCAAGTCCAGATTTTTTTTTTTTTTTTTTACAAATAAGTCTACCAAACCCTCAAAGTACAGATAATTCTCATACTGTATACGCAGTGCCAAAGTACAGAACAAGAATCATAGCTACATGCTCATTTGACAAGGCCAGAAAAATCTCCTTGATACAGAAACTGGATTAAAAACTGCATTTAATCACATTAAAAAACAACTTAGGAATAAACCTAGCCAAGGAGGTGAAAGACTTATATGTAAGGAGGCTCATCAGAAAACTAAAAATAGAATTACCCTATGATCCAGAAATCCCACTCCTGGGCATATGCCCAGAGAAAACCGTAATTCGGAAGGATACATGCACCCCAAAGTTCACAGTGGCAGTATTTACAATAGCCAAGACACGGAAACAACCTAAATGTCCAAGCACAGATGAATGGATAAAGAAGATGTGGTACATATATACAACGGAATACTACTCAGCCATAAAAAAGAACAAAATAATGCCATTTGCAGCAACATGGATGCAAGTAGAGATTATCATACTAAGTGAAACAAGTCAGAAAGAGAAAGACTATCACTTATATGTGGAATCTAAAATATGACACAAATGAACCTATCTATGAAACAGAGACAGAATCACTGACATAGAGAAGAGACTGGTGGTTGCCAAGGGGGAGGCTGTGGGGGAGGAATGGAGTGGGAGGTTGGGGCTAGTAGATGTAAGCTGTTATATATGGAATGGACAGACAACAAGGTCCTACTGTGTAGCACAGAGAACTATATTCAATGTCACATGATAAACCATAATGGAAAAGAATATTTTAAAAAAAGAATGAATATATATGTATAACTGAATCACTTTGCTGTACAGCAGTAATTAACACATTATATATAAATCAACTGTACTTCAGTTAAAAACAAACCAAAAAAACAAGTGATCACTGCACATCACAAATTTAAATTTATTCAAAACAATGTTCATGATACAGTTGGGAAACTTGAGGCATTTAATAAGAAAATCAAAATTATATAAGAAGGTAAAACCAGTAGCCAAGTATTACTTGCTTTGGGACTGATTTGTTGTTTATCTTAACATTTTTAAAAATTTCCAGTCACTTCCTTCCACTCAGAGTATGCTCCATGACTGCCTACCCCTATATCCACCACTGTGTGTTCGAGGATAGTAAGCAAAGAAAAACACAATTAGAAAGTTCAATCTGCAAAAAGAAAAATCACAAAATGCTCTCCAAGGTAAAATATAAGTGTTTTATTTTGGGGGGGGATTCTCTTCACAGCTGTGCATCTTCATTACTAGGAGAAATAAGAGTTGACTAGCACTGGACAAATTTCACAAACAAAATTCTGACTCGCTTTTAACAGAACTTGAAGTCTCCTTCCCCCCACACCCCTTCAAGTTTTTTCAACAGGGCTGCAAAGCTGCTTATAATGTCAACAAATGAACATTTTATTGAGAAGCTATCCCACTCCACCCCCACTGGACAGACAGCCTTCCTTCCTTTCTCTGATAAATATTACTGCTATGTGGCCTTTCCTTACAGGGAGAAATGAGGCAGCCTGCCACTGCCTACATTGTAGTTTAAACTGGCCATAATACTGGACCAGAATTCTTCCAAAAGTTTGTTTCTTTTTGCTGATCCAAGCCTCTGATCTATGACCCAAGAATCTTAGTGGAATTGCATTTTCCTGTTGGCCAAAAAAAGCTTCTCTCCACCAAAAAAATGAAAAGTTACAGTGTATTTCCTTCTGTTCTAAAAACCAAATTAAGGATGGTCTCCAAAGTTTTTTAATTGTATCCCTCAGGTCCTCCGAATAAATGCTTAAAATAAAATTCACCTAACTAAAACTAAAAAAGTACTGAAATTAACTAAAAGAAAAAATCTAGTGTTGATGATTCCACCTTTTAAAAGTAGTGACTTCAAGACTATTTATCCTTAACAATAAAAATGTGAGAAAAATATAAAGTATGACAAACTGAAACATCAATAAAATAATAACCAAAGGAAAAAGAACTCTCATTTTAAGAAATTTGGAACTCAAAAGTAAACTATTAAGACAACGAAATTAAGGTAAATTACTGTTTTTTATATTACTAAACATGCCACTTGCCACTATAACTGATTTCTTATATCTAAAAAATACATTACAGAACACTAATTATTCAAGCAAAACTATACAAAAAAATAATGATAACATACTATACTGTCATCCATAGTTATAAAAATCTGCTAAAAGGGTCATATTCATATATTTTGAGACTGTAATACTGTAACAAAACAGAGACCATGAAGAAATTAAGGAGAAAGCAGGTCAGCTATTACAAATACTTATGAAAATTCTGCTAGAGACATTTTAATTAACACAGATAAAAGGGTAATCAGTCAATAAATAGGTAGTGAGTGCCTAATTAGGGTTAGGCTCTATGCCAGGTATAAAAAATACAAAGGAGAAAAAAATTATACTTTGTCTTTGAGGAGGTTAGAGAAAGGGGAAGCAAATATTCATACCAATTTTCATTGCCATAATGATCCAACAAATATACCTAACTCTTCAAACATCTATACTTTTCCTATATAAGTACAGAGAAATAAGGGAAGACAGTTTCACCAATGAAGTTACTGAACATGCATCCCAGGGCAAACACTGGGGCAGAGTAACTATCTGATCCCAATACCATGCTCTCTTTCCTTTTATTAATAAAACGCCCTGAGATTTAGCTGGGCAGAACTACATTTCCCAATCTTTCTTACAGGAAACTATGGCCATATGACTAAATTCCAGCCAACGAGATGTGACTGGGAGCAGCCCTTGTGAGTTTTAGATTATATCCTTAAAAGGAAATTATTTTCTCTTCAAATCCTCACCTTTCCCATGGGCTAGAACCCAGGTAGAGTGGTGGGCCGACAGATTTGACTTTGTGCACGAGGATACCACCAAGGGAATGGCAAAACAAGAAAGAAGGAACTCTGGTCCCTGGATGACCTCAGGAAGCAAACCTGCCTACACCCCTGGACTAGCGTAGACTTCTACGTGAGAGAAATATTAATCTTCTATCTTTTTTAAGCCACTGGTATCTGATTTCTATTAAATGCCAAACCAATATCCTAACACAATTATGTGTTATAAAGTTCCAAAAGATTATTGCTTGGTTAGAGACCTTTTTTCCCCCAAACAATAGTTTAAAAAAATTTTTGCATATCAAAAATTTATTTAAGTTTTTAAGATAATTATAGATTCATATGCTCTTGTAAAAAAAATGCACACCTTTTTATCCAATTTCCTCTAAGGGTAGCATCTTACAAACCTATAGTACAGTATCACAATCAGGATTTAACACTGACACCATCAAAATACAGAACAATTCCATCACCAGTTAGGAACATCTGTATGGGAAAAAATATCTGATGATCACTAAACTTCTTTGAAGTTAATTTCTTTTAAGGGTCACATACCAGCCACAGAGGAAATGTACCATCGTGGATTAGGCAAAGTGCAAGAAACTGGATTAGACACTAAAGAACCCAAAGACAATGGGGCCCTATCCATGAAGTTTATAGTCTAAAGGAGAAATGGACATGGAAAAGACAAGCAAATAAATAAATGGTAATGAGTTTGCAGGGAGAAAAAGAATGTTACCTAAATGTCAGGATGACCCTGGAAGAAAAAACAGTTGAGAAGTAACTCAGAAATCAATGTGTAGAACTGACCAATTGGTTTAGACTTTTTCCAAGTTTACAATTAACCAGAGAAGCCATTCTACTTCCCCCCAGTTTTAAAAAATTTTCTTTCATTTCTTTTTCCTACTTTCTTTCTTGCTTAGAGCATCCTTCAAGGTCCAAATCAGACTCGTCTATTCTAATGAAGCAAAAACATGACTGCTTTTACAGCACTTTGATTATATGGCTCTCTCCAGCATTGTACTTACCACAGTCTGAAATTGATTATACTTATGTATGTAACTTAGGCACAAATCTTCCTGTGGACTCCTTGATAGAAAATAGCTACATCTTTTTCATGTTTCATATTCCTTAGAGGGCTCCAACTTACAAACTTAATTTGTTCCTTTACTTCAACTTTACTTTCTTTCTTACTTCAGTTACTTACCAAAGGTTATTTTTACAGTGTATAAGACAG